GTAGGCGTCTCTGCGAATGGACTAATCCCAGTCGGCCTCTGGGGTCATCTGAGGACTCCGTGACGGACCGCTCCGGGCTCAAATGCAGAAGGCAGTGCTCCTCGATACCGCCCGCACCGTCTGCCGGTTTCCGGAGGGCTTCCATCTGGTTGGATCTTTATTTATTTATGTATTTTGTATTTATTTTATTGTATTGATATTGTTACGAGCTTGAGGTTCGTGACAATAAAAATTCCCGATAAAATTACCTAAATTAACACTTTAATTTACTTTACACAAATTAAAACTTAAAACACTAATAATTAAACACACTAATTCACTTTATTCCGCTCCGAAGCTTCGCTTGTCTCGCCAAATCCAATACTGCCCCGATCGCATCTTGCAGCGCCTATATATAAAAATTAGCAATGAAGCATCCGGAATATTCAAGTAAATGCGCGCAAAGCGACGAGTGTTCGAGTGTAGATTTTCTAGAAACTTAGTTCTTCGGATGGCGCTGTCGGTTGAAATATTTATGATGTCATTTTCTGCAAAGCTCCCCTCGCTCTCGTTCCTGACACTAGATGGCGCTAGTGTATGACGTTGACTTATTCACGCAACACTGCCCCCTCCTAAGACATGCTCGTCCCGAGCATTATCGGTCCCATAATAACGCGCCAAGCGATCCACATGGACGATCTTAGGAGTCCCTCTTGCGCCTTTCTGTATCCGGTAGGTCACATCGTTGATCCTGGTTACAATCCGGTACGAGTCGTCCCATTTAGCTTGAAGCTTAGGAGATTTCCCTTTGCTGCGGACTGGATTGTGCAACCACACTAATGAACCTTCGTTGAACCCTTTATTGTTCATTTTGCGGTCGTACCGGGTTTTCATTTTCTCAGACATTTGCTGGCCCGATTGTCTGACGTGCTCATAAAAGTCATTCATTTTGTTCCGCAAGTCATTTGCATAATCGGTTATACTGCGTGGGGCATCAGGTGGTATCCCGGTGATCAGGTCTGCAGGCAGTCGTAATTCTCTTCCAAAGTTTGCAAAACTGGTGTCACTGCTGTACTTTCGTGAACAGAACTTCGATATGACAACAAAAACGGTTGTATGTGCTTGTCCCAATCTCGTTGCCGATTGTCTACAACTTTTGCTAGGTACCTCTCCAATGTCTGATTAAATCGTTCCACCATTCCATCAGATTGCGGGTGATAAGAAGTCGTTCTTGTTTTATGAGTACCCATAACTCGGCAAGTTTCCTGGAATATTTGAGACTCAAAATTCCTTCCTTGATCGCTGTGAATCTCTAAAGGTACTCCAAAACGACAGAAGACTTCATGAACTAGTTTATCTGCAACTGTTGAAGCTTCTTGATTTGGAATGGCGAAAACTTCTGGCCACTTTGTGAAGTAATCCATCACAACCATGAAATACTTGTTACCGCTTTCACTCTCCGGAAACGGCCTCGCCACGTCAATGGCTATTCTCTCCCATGGTGCACCAACATTGTACAACTTCAATGCACCTCTACTACGAGTCTGAGGTCCCTTTACAGCCGCACAACTTGTACATTTGCGACACCAGTCCTCGACATCGTTTCGACAGTGGACCCAATAAAACCGTTCTCGGATTTTCAGTAGAGTTCGTTTAACTCCCAGATGGCCTCCGGAACAATCATTATGGTACAGCTGTAGAACATCCGGTACTTTAGCTTTAGGGAGACAGCTGTCTCCCCTAACATTTTCCCATTTACGGCACAGAACTCCATCCTGAAGCAGCAAGCTGTCCCACTGGGCCCAATAGCTTTTAGTGGTCGAACTCATTGCTGAGACGTCGCTCCACTTAGGCTTGGGAGCACTGGCCTTTATCCATTCCAGAATCGGCTTGATGTCCGGATCTTCCTGCTGTGTATGTTGTAAGCTGTCCTTCCATTCGTTGTTGAGGTGGTCCGTCCTGAGCATCCTCACGGATACCTCCTCCTTACTCTCTTGCCTAGTACAATGGTTGCAATCTTCAGGACAAGGTCTTCTTGACAATGCATCTGCGTTGCCGTGAGATTTTCCGCTGCGATGTTCGATCTCAAAGTCGTATTCCTGCAGCTGCTGGGCGGTGCTGTTAGCCGCACTTCCTTTCTGAGACCGTTCACCTTCCCTTCCTAGGGTGTGCTTAGGGCAGCTGGACCGAAGATGGCCCCTTTCCCTACAGCCATAGCACCTAGGGCTGTATCCTTTATTGTGGTCGCGAACCGTAACTGCTGCAACCTCCCTAGCGTGAGGTGAACGATGATCCTGTCGCCGCCAGGCAGTGCGGTTAGCTGCACTACCCTCCTGATATCGTTCACTTTCCCTTTCTGCGGTTCGCTTAGGGCAGCTGGATCGAAGGTGGCCTTTTTCCCCACAGCCATAGCACCTAGGAACGATGATCCTGCCGCACGGCTTCCACCTCCAGTGCATGGGCCACGGCGTCCTTAAGCGTCTCGTGATGCCCGAGCCTCACAGCAGCTCTGACTTCCAGGTCGCGGATGCCGTCGATGAATGTCTGCACCAGGTTCCCTTCAATGAGCGCAGGTACAGACCGGTATGCTTTTCGCACCAGCTTCTCCACCTCTAGAGCCCACTGCTGCAGGTTTTCGTTGATGCGCTGCACGCGATCTTTAAGCTGCGCACGAAAGACGTGTTCCAGGTGAGCGTCGCCATATCTCGCCTCCAATGCCTCAAGGAGTTGCTCATAAGTCACTTCTTCACCGAGAGCTTCCAGAACTGTTAAGGCCTGGTCACGCAGGCCTAGTGTGAGAGCAGTCATGGCCTGATTTTTATTCCAGCCGTTCGCCTTCATAACAGCTTCGAACTGGATTTTGTAGGCTGACCAGGAAGAAGTCCCGTCGAATGGTGGCACCTTGAACCCACGTAGCGATTGTGTAGTAGCTACTACGGGAGCTGTAGTTCCCTCCCCAAGTTTGAGTTCGTCCAGCGTTTTCTTCACGTCAGCCATTACGTTGTCAACTCGATTGTTTACTTGGTCGATTCGGGTTTCAGCTTCCGACAGGCGGTTTTCATGTTGAGCAACCTTATCCTTCACCTCCCGTATCTCTTTTCCGAAGGTAGCGTGAAGGTCTTTCATAAGGAGCATCTGCTCTTCCTTATCGCGTTGGAGTTGCTCTTTTAAACGACGGGCCTGTTCCTCCTGCCGGCGAGCTTGTTCCTCCTGCCGGCGGGCCTGTTCCTCCTGTCCGCCCCGCAGCTGCTCTTCCAATCGGCGGGCCTGTTCCTCCTGTCCGCGCTGCAGCTGCTGCAGCATCACCATCAGAGCACCTAAGTCAGGTGCCACAGACGTAGAAGCTGCTGACGGGCCGGCTTCCGTGGCCGGCAGCTGGCCCTCAGACATCTGCGGCGTTGCACCGCCAAATCTCCTCTGGTCTGTCTCCTGCTGGCGTTGACTTCGGAAACGGACACGCTCCATCTCGTCCTTAGGTAAAATCGGCATGATTTTATCCCACTTCTGACACCAATTGTTACGAGCTTGAGGTTCGTGACAATAAAAATTCCCGATAAAATTACCTAAATTAACACTTTAATTTACTTTACACAAATTAAAACTTAAAACACTAATAATTAAACACACTAATTCACTTTATTCCGCTCCGAAGCTTCGCTTGTCTCGCCAAATCCAATACTGCCCTGATCGCATCTTGCAGCGCCTATATATACAAATTAGCAATGAAGCATCCGGAATATTCAAGTAAATGCGCGCAAAGCGACGAGTGTTCGAGTGTAGATTTTCTAGAAACTTAGTTCTTCGGATGGCGCTGTCGGTTGAAAGATTTGTGATGTCATTTTCTGCAAAGCTCCCCTCGCTCTCGTTCCTGACACTAGATGGCGCTAGTGTATGACGTTGACTTATTCACGCAACAATATTTATGTATATTTATCTTTTCATTTTAATTTATAATTATATATTTATAGAACCCAACCAGATGAGAAAACTATATATATATACCCCATAATAATAACATAAGTCTCTTAAATTCCTACCCCACGTCCGAGCCGAATATGGGGCCACGTAAGATACGGGCAACGTGTCATTATATAATACTGACACGGCCAACGGGGCTATGGGCACTGGTATATTTGGACACCAACCTTCCAACTCAAGCCAAGGTGGAACAGCATGTGCCGAGGGCTGCGTGGCTATGGGGAAGCATAGTCATTAACATACGAAATCTGGAGAACAGGGGCCCTCCAGTTTTATATACCCTTACTACGGTGAACGCAGGGCTCTGCCGTGGTTGACGTTATAGTCACTTGCTGCTCGTGGGAACTAAATGAAAAGAACCAAAAGAAAACCAAACTCTACCCAGACTAAAGCTGCTGTAGAAAACACCTCCTAGAAAACACCTCCTTTAATTCCCTCTCCTCTCCCACATCTCCACTCCAACCGGCTCCATGTGTTTCACGGAGTACTCAACCCGTGACCACAAAGGCTGGTCTCCCCAGACAACGTATGACTTGGACCATTGAAATGAATGAGCACGTCATGCGTTGCTATCCACCAAGCTCGAATCACAAAGAGTTAACTACAGCTCCAATATGTGGAGACTCTTTGTACAGAAGTACCCTGATTTAGCTGAAAAAGTAACTTAACAAAGAGTAGCTGACCAAAAACGTGTTATATTGGCCACAAAAAAGATAACACATGTAAGATTAGAGCAACTCAAAGCCGAGGTCGCTACTGAATTTAAGACAGACAGTGATAGGACATTTAATCAGGAAGATTTACGCCCTGAAAGTCCGAAAAATGATACGTCTACAAACTCTCCGCTGACATGGGCATAAGTTCAGTATCTAATTCATGCATTGTGCCAGTAGAAATTGCTAAATTAATCGAAGTTGAAAAAGGTTCAGATAACCAGATGACTATACTTCTGCAGCAAGAATTCAAAAGAGCTATTATTTAATTTACGGGGACCATTTAAACGACCACCCATTCCACGCCAAAACTCATCCCGAAAATTGGCTATGACCGCACACATCTTTAACACCACCATATTGCCAAAACATCTTGCTAACTCTGATAAAAGTTTCACGGCCATTCATACATTGATTTATGTAGCGGCTGTTGCAGTTGTACAATTTACTGGAGGAAAAGTTGAAACTTGTGGTTCAAAACCAAGAGCCCAGAAGAAAATTCGAGCCTGGGAGCATCGATTGATTCAAATTGATAAACTACGCCGCCAAATAGGAAAAATCACCCAATTTATAAGGGGCATTAAAAGGAAAAAGGTTATTGCTGTGTATGAAAAATTAAAATTAGAATTACTTAAGCACACAAAACATGATCCACCCAACAGGACTCCAGAGGAGATACTAGATACACTTAAACAGAAGTTATCACTAAAGGCTAACCGCTTAAGAAGATATCAGGCATCAAGGAAAAGAAAAATTGACAATGCTAACTTCCAGAATAGGGAAAGTATATATAGACAACTCAGAATAAATACCAAAACTAATACAATTTATACTAACTTCCCACATATTAATAGCATAGAAGAAGAATTTTTGGAAGGGGATTTGGTCCGAAGACGTAAGCTATAATGAGGACGCGACATGGATCAATCTGGAGGATGAACATCTCACCAACTCAGTGCCTGTGACAGTGGTCTCCATTACGGTAGAAAATGTCACAAAATCCGTGAACAAAATGCACAATTGGAAGGCTACAAGTCCTGATAACATTCATAATTGCTGGCTAAAGAAATTTTCATCATTCCATGAACCCTTGGCGAAATGTTTTACGGGCTTCCTCCGAAATGCTAAAATCATTCCCGCATACCTCCCGAATGGAATTACGTATCTGATACCGAAGAACGAGAATATCGAAAACCCTGTAAACTACCGCCCTGTTACTTGTATCTGTACGGTTTATAAGCTACTTACATCATGCTTGGCTGATAAGATATACGAGCACTTGGAACAAAATAAAATGCTAGCAGTGGAACAATAGACATTAGAGGATCGCAAGCCTGTAAGGAACAACTCTTGATTGACGCTGTGGTCACAGAACAGGCATATCATAGGATTCGGAATGTCCACATGGCATATATAGACTATCGCAAAGCATTTGATTCTGTGCTACATTCCTGGTTAGTCAAAGGTCTCGAATTGTATAAGATCCATCCCGAGATAACATCACTGCTTCAACATCTTATGTCTTGCTGGAGAACTGAGCTGGTCTTGAATTTGGAAGGATACAACGCTAAGAGTGATCGAATCTCCATTCGACGAGTTATTTTCCAGGGCGATAGTTTAAGTCACCTATGGTTCTGCCTTGCTTTAAACCCACTGTCTACAGTTTAGAACCGCACAGGATACGGTTTTATTATTAAGGGAAGTAGTAGGAAGCAACTTAAACTGAAGCATTTAATATATATGGATGACATTAAGTTGTACGCGGCAAATTTTCGTGAACTTAAGGGACTACTTCAATGCTTTCCGAAGATATCTCAATGTGCTTTGGTCTAGACAAGTGGCAAACAATAAGCACTGATCGAGGTAAGGTGCGACTTTCCGAAGGTTATTGTCTTCAAAATGGTGGGATAATCAATTCAATGACAAAGGAGGAAACCTACAAATATCTGGGACTCCTGCAATCATTACGAGTTGACGACAGAGAAATCAGGACTCGGGTAACTACTGAGTACCACCGTAGGCTCAAGGCAATACTCAAGAGTGGTCTCAATGGTAAAAACACTTTTAAGGCAATTAATACTTTTGCTATACCAGTACTTATGTACACATTTGGGATTGTCAAGTGGTCGAACGCTGAACTTGAGAGTGTCGAGCGAAGTACCCGTGTATTGCTTACAAAATATCGAATCCACCATCCAAAATCAGCGGTTGAGAGGATTACTCTACCAAGAACTGAGGGAGGCAGAGGGCTCATAGATATAAAGAGACAGCATACAAGAAAAATAGAAAACTTACAGCAATACTTCTGGAATAAAGAATCTTCTCCCTTGCATCGAATTGTCTACCTGGTTGACGATAGGCTTTCACCGTTGGATCTCCTCCATGCAAAAGATATTGAACCCTCAATAAGTGATGTAAACCATGTTAAGAATAAACTTAGCCAGTGGGCATCGAAGGCTATTCACGGACGTTTTGCTCATGAGCTAAAAAAAACAAATTTGATATTGTTGCCTCAACTAACTGGATTTGTAGAGGAGGAATATTGGCCGAAACAGAGGGATTCATGATAGCTATCCAGGATCAGGTTATTCCAACAAGGAACTATCTCAAGTACATAATTAAAGCTGAGATAGAGGATGAACTATGCAGATGCTATAGACAAAGCCCCGAAACAATTCAGCACATCACCGGTGCCTGTCAGGCTCTTGCTGCGACATATTATACCCAAAGGCATAAGGCCGCATGCGTTGGACAATCTCAATGAACAGCAACGCATTGCGTGCGTATTATAGGGCGATAGGGGGAGAAATTGGAGGTTTAGCGTATCGGGAAAGGATGCATCGACTTTTTGCTGAGCTGGAGCCATCTGTAACCGTCACCGAGCAAAACCTGGCAGACCGAGTTCGGTATATCTTGCGCTCAAATATATTTGATGGCGCCGAACTCGAACGGCTACGACGTGAGGCTGTTCCCTCATGAAATGAAAATGCTACGGCTGAGGATGCGGTGCCACAAGTTGCAGAACAACCCGCACACGTGGATTCCGCTGTGAATACCCCAGTGGTGGCTGATTCAAATGATGATGGAACATTCGCGCAGGAACTAGAAATAGAACAAATGAGAAGTACATTGGAAGAGGCAATTGTGGAAACGCGCAGTATGCCTCTCGAAAATCGACCGCGACTTCCCCGCATAGCTCTAAGCAAGCGAAATCGGGCTGTCGTGAGGGCTCTGAACCCAATGCTGGTGACCTATTTGGAAGCCAGCCGGGACCTTTACGATACGGACTCAATTCTTTTTGGCGCCGCGCTGGCAGTTTGCCGTATCATAGGCGCCAAGGTTTCCACGGCTGGCGCTACTGGCCAAAGTAGCGATATTCCAGCATGGAGAAGAAGAATTGAAGAGCGTATCGCAAAGGCTAGAGCTCTCATCGGCAGACTGATATGCTTCAGATCAGGCAATAACACTCCAAGAATTGTGCGCACCGTTACTAGGGCGTTTGCTGGGACAAATGTCAGTTTGTCCCAGCCGGATATAATGCAAAAACTGATGGAGCGCATAGATGATCTGAAGCAGAGAATCGCTGCTAGGGGAAAGGGAATTCGGCGATATACCGAGTGGTCGACTCGATTCAACCAGAATCGTCTCTTCCAGAGTGATCAGAAGAGGCTCTATGAATCATTGGAGCGACCAATGGCATGTGGAACGGGCCCAGCACCGAATAAGGCCGACACTGTAACATTCTGGCGTGGCCTGTGGTCAGAGCCCGTAAACCACAGCGAGGGCTCTTGGACGGTAGTTGTGGCGAGTCAGTGTGCGAGTATAACGCCCATGGACCCCGTCATTATAACGCCGGAAGACGTAACTGAGGCGGTCCGTAGGACCCCGAACTGGAAAAGTCCGGGACTCGACGGGCTGCATCACTACTGGCTAAAGGGGTTTGTGGTGTGTCACACTGTGCTCACCCGACAGTTACAAGAGGTTCTCAACCAGAAGTCGCTCCCGAGCCTTTTTACTACTGGGATCACTCATTTGGTTCCTAAAGAACAGGATACCACAGACCCGAGCGAATACCGCCCCATCACGTGTCTACCGACCATATACAAGACACTAACATCCATTTTGAGCGCGAGAATCATTCGTCACCTGGACTCAAATCAGGTGATGTCGCGCGCTCAAAATGGATGTCGGGGCGGTGGTCGTGGTACCAAGGAACCACTTCTCATTGACGCGGTCAATGGCAAAGGGGTAAAACGCAACCGTCGGAACTTCTCCGCTGCCTCGGACTCCAGACCGGACTCGGTGCCACATACATGGCTAAGGAGGGTCCTCGAGCTGTATAAGATTGACTATACAGTTAGAGACTTCCTCGAACAGTGTATGGGGCAGTGGAGTACGATCCTTTGTCATCTGGGTGAGCGGATGATGGCTGCGAAAAGCCACATAAAGATAAGATGGTGTATCTTCCAGGGCGATTGTCTGAGTCAAATCTGGTTCTGCCTCTCTTTGAACCCTCTCAGTACTTTACTGGAGCGCTCCGGCAGGGGTTTTCAGCTTCGGAAAGGAGGTACAAAAGTGACCCACCTTTTTTATATTATGACCTCAAGTTATTCGCCTCCAGTCGCTCCCATCTTGTGGAATTGCTAAACATCACTTGTGAATTTAGCAATTCTATTGGAATGGAACTGGGGACGGATAAGTGTGCAGTCCTCCATGTTGAAAGGGGAAGGGTTGCTAACTCTGAGGGCATAGACTTATCTATGCCCATCAGGACCCTTTCCGAGGCTGAAACATACCGATACCTGGGTGTGTCACAGAACATCGGTATCGATGATGCTGGTATGAAACAGTCAGTTTGCGACGTGTTTTATGCACGCTTGACCAAAGTGCTCAACAGCCTTTTGTCTGGTGTGAATAAGACACACGCATATAACGGTTGGGTCATGCCTGTCGTCATGTATACCTTCGGCATACTCAGGTGGACTCAGACTGAACTTAACGCCCTGGATAGAAAAGTCCGCACTACTATGACGTCCCGTAGGATGCATCATCCGAGATCGTCGGTGATGTACTTGCCGCGAAAGCATGGTGGGCGTGGCTTTTTCAGCGCACTCACCATGTATAATCGCGAAGTGTGCAGCCTCCGTAATTACTTCCTTTTGTGATAAAGGACTTACCCCTCTATCCTTAGCCAACGAGCAATGGCAAGACCCGGCAGTGCAGAGCATTTCTGACCGGGAGACCGTATGGAAAGAGAAGGAGCTCCACGGGAGGTTCTACAAGGTTCTACATGAGCCTTTAGTAGACACAGTAGCCTCCCTCCACTGGCTACGCTTTGGTGACCGCTTCGGGGAAACCGAGGGTTTTGTCTGTGCAGTACAGGATCAGGTTATTAAGACCAACAACTATCAGAGATACATCCTAAAGGATGGCACCGTCGACATCTGTCGAGCTTGTCGCCATCCCGGTAAGTCACTTAGCATGTCATCTCCGGTTGTTCGGCGCTTTCTAACTCTGAGTACTTGCACAGGCACAACTGTTGGGCTTTTATTTATTTATATGTATTACTTATTTATTTGTGCTGGTATATGAAATATATATTTTATGTATTTATTCAGCCCGACCAGATGAGAATACAAAAATAATAATAAAAACATTTATTCATTACCACCAATAAAATTACAGTAAGCAGTACACACAGAAATAACCATAATTACATAGTGTAGTAATGAATAGGCTCTAGCTCAGCATAAATGTTGCAGTTGCCCACAACGCTGTTATTCTGCCAGCGCCCAACAAATGAAGAGTACAGTACGCGCGCATCCCTGCTTTATTACATTTAATCACAACGTAAACATAAACACTCACGCCTGTCACCCAGAGGGGTAGGCAGAGACTACAGACATCCATTTAGCACGATCCTGACATACCTTTCTCGCCTCTTCCACATCCATATACCTACGCATACATGCTCGTCGGTTAAGGGTACTCTTAATTTGGCCCATTTTTAGTATATCGCCAATTTGGTCGACAAACATCCGCCTAGGACGTCCCTTTCCGACTCTTCCATTCACTTCTGCAACATATATTTGCTTTGTCAGTCTTTCCGCATTCATTCTTTCTACATGACCAAACCACCGAAGCATTCCTTTCTTAATCCTGGTCACCGCATCATCTTGCAAACCACACTCTTCTTTTATCACACAGTTTCTCACCCTGTCACTCAGATTCAGCCCTAACATACTCCTTAGCGACCGCATTTCTACTGCATTTATTCTACTCTCGTGCTTCTTCTGTCACACCCAACTTTCACTACCATACGTTAAAGTAGGGACTAATACAGCACTGTGAATTGCCATACGTGCCTTTTTTGACACATTCTGACTTTTCACAATAGAGTGTAGAGCCCCATTTACTTTATTTCCTGCATTCACTCGTCGTTCAATGTCCTTATCATATCTCCCATCCCTGCTAAATACACATCCCAAATATACGAACTCATCCACTTGCTCAATTAACTCTCCTTCTATTCTTATTTCACATACCGTTTTGCTTTCATCTCTTTCAAAAACCATCACTTTCGTCTTACTTGCGTTCACTTTCATTCCCCTTTCTTTTAATGACCTGTTCATTAATGTAACCATCATTTGCAACTCGGCCGCCGACGACGCAAGTATGACTTGATCATCGGCGTACAAAAGGCATTTGATGGTTAACTCACCCATTCTTAACCCGCATTCTTCAACTTTCAAATTTTCCAAACAGCTGTCCATAAATAGGTTGAACAGCCACGGGGAAGCTACACAGCCCTGTAAGACACCTTTATGGATGCCAAACCAGTCCGAGTAGACCCCGTTGATTCTAACACAAGCACTTGAGTCCCTATACAGAGACTTTAATGCCTGTATCAAACCAGCGCTCAACCTAAATGCGTTCAGCGTTTGCCATAACACATCCCTGTCCACTCTGTCATAAGCCTTTTCCAAGTCCATGAACGCACAAAAAACTTTTTGGTTTTTCGCCAAAAACTTCTCCGCGATCATGCGCATGGAAAAGACTTGATCTGTACACCCCATTCCCTTTCTAAATCCCGCTTGCACATCCCAAATTTTTTCATCAGTTTCTTTCATAACTCTTTCAATTAGTACCTTAGCGTACAGTTTTCCCACAATGCTAAGAAGGCTGATACCACGGTAGTTTTTACAGTCCTGCTGTGACCCTTTTCCCTTATATATTGGGACTATCACGGCTTTGCACCAGTCTCCCGGTATCCGCTTTAGTTCCCAACATAAATTAAACAAGGTGTACAGCAGGCCTGCCACCACGTCCTCTCCAGCCCTTAGCATTTCGAGTGAAACTCTATCATATCCGGCTGCCTTACCTACTTTCATACTTTTCATTGCTTTCATTATTTCATCTATACTTATCTCCCTATCTCTTTCATCTTCTTTCGGAATTTCTATTTCATTTAGTTCACACTTCTCCTCACTCATAAATTCGCTTTCAAAATATTCCTTCCATCTCTTTAGACTCAACACTTCATCATTCAGGATACAGCCATTCTCGT